TAATGTGCGCATAGTGTTAATTGTTTTAACCGACTCAGACCTGGGTATGTTTTAATGTGCGCCCAGTGTTAATTGTTTTAACCAACTAAGACAGGGGTATGTTTTAATGTGCGCATAGTGTTAATTGTTTTAACCAACTTAGACAGGGGTTTGTTTTAATGTGCGCATAGTGTTAATTGTTTTAACCGACTTAGACAGGGGTTTGTTTTAATGTGCGCACAGTGTTAATTGTTTTAACCGACTTAGACATGGGTATGTTTTAATGTGCGCATAGTGTTAATTGTTTTAACCGACGTAGACAGGGGTATGTTTTAATGTGCGCATAGTATTAATTGTTTTAACCAACTTAGACATGGGTATGTTTTAATGTGCGCACAGTGTTAATTGTTTTAACCGACCTAGACAGGGGTTTGTTTTAACTGGCTTTGACGATATATTTTTGTCATGTTTTAATCAGCTCTGTGAGGATTATGGTTTAATCAATTATGTCAAGATCATGTTTTAATCAATTATGTCAGTTTATATGCTACATAATTTTAATGAGCATATATACGATTTGTTCTAGCCAGCAAACTCATAGAGGATCTTGTATTAAGAGCTCAGAAAGGGTCTTGTTTTAAAGCTCACACAGGGTCTTGTTTTAATAAGCTCAGAAGGGTCTTATTTTAATGAGCTGAGAATCGGTTTAGTTTTAATTAGCTCAGACAGGATCTTGTTTTATGAGCTTAGACAGGGTTTAGTTTTAATTAGCTCAGACAGGATCTTGTTTTATGAGCTTAGACAGGGTTTTGTTTTTATCAACTAAGACAGTGTCTTTTAATCAGGTCAGAAAGGGTCCTGTTTTCATAAATGCAGATATGATCTTGTTTCAACAAGCTCGGACAATATCCTGTTTTATTAAATGCAGATATGAACTTGTTTCAACAAGCTCGGACAATATCCTGTTTTATTAAATGCAGATATGATCTTGTTTCAACAAGCTCGGACAATATCCTGTTTTATTAAATGCAGATATGATCTTGTTTCAACAAGCTCGGACAATATCCTGTTTTCATAAATGCAGATATGATCTTGTTTCAACAAGCTCAGACAATATCCTGTTTTCATAAATGCAGATATGATCTTGTTTCAACAAGCTCAGACAATATCCTGTTTTCATAAATGCAGATATGATCTTGTTTCAACAAGCTCGGACAATATCCTGTTTTCATAAATGCAGATATGATCTTGTTTCAACAAGCTCGGACAATATCCTGTTTTCATAAATGCAGATATGATCTTGTTTCAACAAGCTCGGACAATATCCTGTTTTCATAAATGCAGATATGATCTTGTTTCAACAAGCTCGGACAATATCCTGTTTTCATAAATGCAGATATGATCTTGTTTCAACAAGCCCGGACAATATCCTGTTTTCATAAATGCAGATATGATCTTGTTTCAACAAGCTCGGACAATATCCTGTTTTCATAAATGCAGATATGATCTTGTTTCAACAAGCTCGGACAATATCCTGTTTTCATAAATGCAGATATGATCTTGTTTCAACAAGCTCGGACAATATCCTGTTTTCATAAATGCAGATATGATCTTGTTTCAACAAGCTCGGACAATATCCTGTTTTCATAAATGCAGATATGATCTTGTTTCAACAAGCTCGGACAATATCCTGTTTTCATAAATGCAGATATGATCTTGTTTCAACAAGCTCGGACAATATCCTGTTTTCATAAATGCAGATATGATCTTGTTTCAACAAGCTCGGACAATATCCTGTTTTCATAAATGTAGATATGATCTTGTTTCAACAAGCTCGGACAATATCCTGTTTTATTGAATGCAGATATGAACTTGTTTCAACAAGCTCGGACAATATCCTGTTTTCATAAATGCAGATATGATCTTGTTTCAACAAGCTCGGACAATATCCTGTTTTAATAAATGCAGATATGATCTTGTTTCAACAAGCTCAGACAATATCCTGTTTTATTAAATGCAGATATGATCTTGTTTCAACAAGCTCGGACAATATCCTGTTTTATTAAATGCAGATATGATCTTGTTTCAACAAGCTCAGACAATATCCTGTTTTATTAAATGCAGATATGATCTTGTTTCAACAAGCTCGGACAATATCCTGTTTTATTAAATGCAGATATGATCTTGTTTCAACAAGCTCGGACAATATCCTGTTTTATTAAATGCAGATATGATCTTGTTTCAACAAGCTCAGACAATATCCTGTTTTAATAAACTCAGCCTAACCGGTGTTTCTAATAAAGAGAGCAAACATGAATTAAAACAACAAAAACAGCAACACATTCAGTAATTTCTTTCATAGAAAAGTACAAGCTCAAGAATCCACTATTTTGCTTCTACGGTTTAATTTGACTAAAGCCGCAGGAGTCAAGCCCGTTACTTTGGACTCTGAAAGTCCTGGGGTTGTTCCACTAACAAGTTCAATTGACGACAGTAGCTTTTAGGCAGATTTCTGGGAATCGTTGCTGAAGCTACGGAGTTTGTGCTCTCAGCAGGCAACTATCAATTCTGGGGAGAGAGCACTAGCTATGAGTAGTGGAGTGATGACGATCCTCTCGACTTTCAGTTTTAAACTGTAATACTGTGTCTGACCGGTGCAATCGAATTTATGAAAATGTTCGTCGTGATATGTACTTGTAACGGAAAAGATATTGACTCCACTTCATGCGAGCAAATTAACGATACGATGCATGTTCCATTTTATTAACCACACAGGATGCAACCAAGGTGGCACATTGGTTAGTGCATTTGCCTGTCAAGACAATGGTCTGCTTTCAATCCCCAGCAGAGGTACGATTTTATTTTTAAGTAAAAGGACTTTTTTCCCCACGGCATTAGGTTATTTGGCATATAGGTCTATACATACTTTTTAAAGACCAATCGACACTTGGTGGAGGATATAATCAACATCACACTAGCCGACTTTAATTCACAGAGGCCTTACCTGTTACCAGTTTAAGGCTGACCTGGGACCTAAGTTTATTTTCAGAAGAAGAAGAAGAAAAAAAGTCCGGTTCGGTTCGGATTTGAACCCACGACAGTAGCACCTGCAGGCAAGCGTTTAGCCGTCAACCCACTGGCCCCCACACAACTGAAGAGAGTGTCAGATTGGTCATGCACAGTTACGCTTGCTCCTGCAACGAGGCGCTTGGACGGTCGTCAGCTGGAAGTAACATGATTGATGACCAGTCTGGTACCGATAGCTTTCCATTTCTTCGGTTGTCTAGTGTGTCTCCATATCCCTCTATTAATTCCTAAGATGCAACTGAAGAACAACCCGACATACCAGTCTCTTATCAACAGAAGAAGAGAAGGAACAAATCAATCAGAATGCCACCGAAACTGGAACAAGACGATTACCGTATTATGGACAGACCAGAGCAAGTCATTATCCTTCGCATTCGAACAGGGCACTATCGACTTCGCTGCCACATGTACAACAAATTTAAGATTGGCCAATCAGCCATGTGTACATGTGGACTGGCACCTGAGACAAAAGATCGCATCCTCCAAGACTGTCCCAGATTCAACGCCTCCAGGCAAAACTTCTGGCCAAAAGAGACACTTGTAGAAGTCAAACTTTACGGACCGCTTAGTGAATTACAAAAGAAAGTAAAATTCATACTAGAGACAGCATTGCAGATATAGATAATTTATTTCATGCGAACGAAAGAAGAAGAAGAATTCCTAAGAATGCCTTTCAGTACATATTAATTTGTTTATTTCACTGCTCAGGAAAAGAGGCTAAAGTTTCAAATTCCAACTGATAACAGGCAAAACCAATGAGCAAGCGATAAACAATAATAGATTCCTCGAGTGAACTGTAAAAATGAAATCCGCAGCTCACGCCATGCATTCAACTCAGAAGCTGGGCGACGAAACTATATCCAGTCTACAAATGGAGCAAAACTACATCGGCCACCGTCCGACAGAAGCAAAAAAAATTGTCTCGGCTCCAAACAGTACCCCCGCATAGAGTGTTGGACTGTTTGTGATGGCTACCGTATGCTTTAATGCGTGTGTATGCTAGATATGCTGAGACAGCAGTCTGTCAATCTTTCCACAAGGGATTGTGATAAAGATTCTGTGTGTTTTGCGTTGGTACAGGAGCGGAGCAAAGATGGGGTGACCCATTTGCTACGAAGCTGAAACTAAGACTATACCAGACCAGAATAGACCATACCTATATTTTATAGATCACTTGCACTTAGTGGGTGATGTGGTCAGCATCAAACCGGCCGCCTTTATTTCCCAGGACTGTACCTGGCACCCACTCAATGGTGAGTCGACCTGGGTCCAAGGTCATTTTAGTAAAAAGTCCGGACCCTGTCAGGATCCGATCCCACGACTTCCAGACACGCAGGCGAGCGTCTAGTTACTAGCCCACAGCGGCTCCCGAACTAAACTAAACTGTAGGGCAAGATTGTTCAACTAAGTTTACCCAGTGGCCAACATTTTCAAAATAAGGATCGATTGGAGCTGGAGTCGGTTCTCTAACGATTTGTTTCTCTTATGACATCATTCCACATGGCATCTCTTCTGGTCACTCCTGCATTTCTTCTCTAGCCATTTTTTTCCATGGTTACTATTTTTTTTTTCTAATTCTAGTTTTCTGGTATGTTGTGAGTGATCATGTCTGGCACTGGCAGTATAGGATGGGGATGAATATGCTTTGTACTGATGTGTAATTGTGTGTGTCTTATGTTGTATGAGGCGGACTTGCTGTTCAAATACTTGGCTAACTTCATGGCATCGAATGTTAGATTTCTTCAATAGATGCACCGTCTTCCGTGAATATTGTTCGCAGATATTTAAACTCCTAAAGTCAAACCACATTAAACATTTTATAAGACTAGAGCACATCCAAGATAACGCTGTGAACGAAAGATTAGATTAACTAAAATCTGTGGATTGACTAACATAATAATGATAATAACGTGGATGAATATGTTTACTTATGTCTATAGTAAAAGACTGTAGACACATGGTAGAAAAATAATAAGCATGTACGTTTGAAAACAAATGTAAAAACGACTGGAACTCAAACTGTTGATGTCATCATACAACATGGCGTAGATCCTGGCCTGTGTACCACTTCCGCCCTCAATCCTGATTGGTGAGGCGTGGAGCCGGAAGTCACGTGGTGGAAGCGAGTCTGGGATCATCAAGTTCTCCAGGATGACGATGTTCCTGGGCAGCAGAAGTGAGTGGACAGGAAACATCGTGTCACGTGGTCCGTCAGGGGCGGGAACGTCAACTCCCAACATTTTGAGTCGCCGATGTGTAACCAGCCATTGGGCCGCCTCTTTGGAAACTGTTGGGAAGTGGAATGTTCTAGAAGCAAAAAAATAACGGAGAAATATTTAGAAGGAATTGAAAATAAAAGAGCTTAAATTGTTACCTAAAAGTTTAACCGACCAAGGACACAAATGAAACATATAAATTTTGGCATATAATAAAATGATAGCAGAAGTGATCAAGAAATTTATTAGGCAGTGTGAGAAATATTAGAGGGATTGATATAAAATAAGAATTGTCAAAGCGTTATGCATGTCGTATTGTGAAGTCATCTGCACCATCAAAATATCAAATTATTTGAACTGTGGTCCTGGCAATATGGACATACAGAAGAATAGATCGTATTTTCTAGAAACTAAAACAATCAATTATATAGATTGGGAAAACATCTCTAATGAAATGTAAGCTGTTGAAAGGTTAATTTAATACAACAGAAACTGGAAAGTGGCATATTTCGCCTTCCTTGAAAGATAGAATACTTTTATAAAAACCATGCTGGGAAACTTTGAGGGATGGCGAGCAAGAGGCTCTATGTAAAAAGAATCAGATAGCGATACACGTGACAGGAGTGCTAGACGTGATTGTGGCAGACAATGTTACACGTGACATCGAGGCAGACACGCTCCAGGTGATATAAGATGGACAAGGCTACAAGTGGCATGAGGCGGACAGCGATGCACGTGTCATAAAGCGGTCAGCGATACACCTGACATAACGCAGATAACGCTACCAGTAACAAGGGACAGCAATCGAAGCAAGCGAAATGAAGCAGACAACACTACAAGTGACATGAGGCAGACAACTCTACAAGGAACATGAGATCGACAACGCTGCAAGTGACATGAAGCGGACAACTACATGTGATATGAAACGGACAACGCTACAAGTGACATGAAGCGGACAACTACACGTGATATGAAACAGACAACTCTACAAGGAACATGAGATCGACAACGCTGCAAGTGACATGAAGCGGACAACTACACGTGATATGAAACAGACAACTCTACAAGGAACATGAGGTTGACAACGCTACAAGTGACAAGGGGCATCATCGATACAAGTGACATGAGGCAGACAGCTATGCAAATGACAAGATGCAGGGAATTACAAGTGACAAGAGGCAGACAACGCTATAATAAAAGTCGAAAAGCAGAATGAAAGAGTGTACTGTCAGAGTGTGAGACGAAAGTACATACTCCATTGAAGCCTAACTTCACAATAAAGAGGTTACGTCGCTTATTGAAACTAAAGACGTTATTTCCTGGCAAATCCCGTAAGATTAAAAGGTAGTTTTTTGCGTGCGTGTGTGTGTTAAAAGAAATAGAAAAAAAAAGTATCTTCTGCTTCTTTATCGGCATTCCAAGTCATTGGATTATTCGTCGTAAATATCTTACTTACTTTCTTAGCCGCTCCTCTTCTACCTTGGGCTGTAGAGGTTTGAGAGAGAGAGAGAGAGAGAGAGAGAGAGAGAGAGAGAGAGAGAGAGAGAGAGAGAGAGAGAGAGAGATAGAGAGAGAGAGAGAGAGAGAAAGAGTCGTAGCAATCACCTGCCACAATTCACCTTGGCAATTGACCTTCTCTTTCTAGTTGGTGACTTCCGGTGCATGAAGGTTTGCAAGATATTATCTCTCCGCCATCTTCTGTCTTGGTCTGCTTAGTGGTGTACTTCCAATCAACTGCTTCGTGGTTACTTCCAATTAACTGCTTTGTGGTGAACTTCAAATCAACTGGTTTGTGGTGTACTTCTAATCAACTGGTTTGTGGTGTACTTCCATTCAACTGGTTTGTGGTGTACTTCCATTCAACTGGTTTGTGGTGTACTTCCATTCAACTGGTTTGTGGTGTACTTCCATTCAACTGGTTTGTGGTGTACTTCCATTCAACTGGTTTGTGGTGTACTTCCATTCAACTGGTTTGTGGTGTACTTCCATTCAACTGGTTTGTGGTGTACTTCCATTCAACTGGTTTGTGGTGTACTTCCATTCAACTAGTTTGTGGTGTACTTCCATTCAACTGGTTTGTGGTGTACTTCCATTCAACTGGTTTGTGGTGTACTTCCATTCAACTGGTTTGTGGTGTACTTCCATTCAACTGGTTTGTGGTGTACTTCAATTCAACTGGTTTGTGGTGTACTTCCATTCAACTGGTTTGTGGTGTAATTCCATTCAACTGGTTTGTGCACGCACTATTTTCTTCTCTATTATATGACTTCATATGCACACGCACGCGCGCGCGCACGCACGCACGCACGCACGCACACACACACAGTAATTTAAAAAGTAATATAGTATTTTAAAACTATCTCTGAGTTTTGGGAACTGAAAGATGTTAAAGAAGAAAACTGGTCACGTTACCATGTATTTACACAACTGGATTAATTCAAAACAATATTTTCCCGTTCTAAATTTCAATAATGCTGACACAAATGAATTTATCAATTTACAAGTAAGTAAATGCTCACATGGGTCGAACGGAGAGACAGTTTGAAAACAGAATGGCAAAACACATCGCTAAATGGCTCCACACACAAGTGGAGTGGAGATCTTGCATCAAGATCAGCCAAGAAGAACGAATCTAATTCTTTGATGGGACGTCATTTGCTTGACGCTGGACACGTACTGCTTTCCGGATTATTTACCACACACTGAATAAACGTTTGATAAAAGTGACCGAGGCTGTATCAATAAAACTCTATTAACCTATAATATGTAAACAGACAAATCAGGTGATCAATTTGAAGTAGTTACCATGGTAATCACGTGACTGATTTTGAATGTCCGGGACATAAGTGTACAGTCTCGACTGTGGTTTATGGATTTCAGCAAGAATAGGATTCATTGTATGCTTGATTATAAGTTAAATTAACTCTGTAGTAACGCACCTGATGAGATGCAGCGAAATATGCCTGGCAATAGATTGTGCAATGTATTGTGTGTGTCTGCATGATTGAAAAATTAACTCAGTAACGAAAGCTATCCATCTAGGAAGGAAGTTACTTTGTAAACCGTAGTGTACAAGTAACGGGCACTTTTCAACACCTTTAGGCGTAGTTGGTATATAGGGCTAGTCCTATATTTTGTAAACCGTAGTGTACAAGTAACGGGCACTTTTCAACACCTTTAGGCGTAGTTGGTATATAGGGCTAGTCCTATATTTTGTAACCGTAGTGTACAAGTAACGGGCACTTTTCAACACCTTTAGGCATAGTTGGTATATAGGGCTAGTCCTATATTTTGTAAACGAATCCTAACTTGGTGGGTGATGTGGTCAGCACAAGGTCGAGTCGATCTGGCAGCCAGAGTCACACACACACAAAATTGGTTACCTTAGGACCCAAACCCACGAACCTCTGAATGCGCTTCGTAATGCGTGGTGCCGGGTTCGATCCCAGCTGCGGACGGGTTGTCTTGCGTTGGTAACGACAGTGGTAGCGAGAGCCGACCTTTCATTTGGACCTAAATTTGCCTAAAAAAGCCACAACAGCCCAAAAATGGTTGGGTTGGGTTCTGCAACCTTCTGTAAAGGATATGCAACTAACTTTTAAAAAAAAAAATTATTTGCTTCAGTGACAATAACATTTACAAAATTCTCAGAATTATTCAGCAAAACTATTTTTTTAAAGCAGGGGAGAGAATATCAATAAATACATTCGAACAACGTTTTCTTTGCATTGTTTCCCTTGTTATTACACTACAGATATTAAAGACAGCAATCATTATTTTTACTTTTAAGTATTTTAACAGGCTTAACAGTCCCCTTCGCCCGAAAATTTTAAAAAGGTTCAACACACTAACAATTCCTTTGAAATGCGCCCTTGCTGCTGCTGCTGCTGCTGCTGCTACGTCGCATATACGGACAGCATTATTATTTCTCATAATCATCACCGGTGTATTAGGAGTTTACCGTAATCAGGTGTTCAATAGTTCATAATAGCTATCACAATACAATTTCATCCTTTCCAGGGCGAAATTTCTTTTTTTCATTTGAAGCCCTACTCTGGCTTTTGCCAGGGGCCGCAATATAGGCAGGCCATACATATGGCCAGATGTCTGAACGCGGTTTCTGGGACCTCTCCACGGCGATCCTCATCCGCATGGTGGCACTTTGTGTCATCGGGTGTTTGTCGCTTGTGTGATGTCCTGGTGGGGTAGAAAGTCAGTCAGTCAGTCAGTCAATAGTTCATCGTTTATTTTTAAGATTATCTTCACCGTATAGCGGAAATGACCATATTTGCTCCGATCTCCTCCTGATGTTTCGAGACCCTCACATTCAGTGGGTGATATGGGACGAAAAGGTGGCTGGTGTGGGGCTGACTAGAACATTCAGTGTTTTTAGGCTAACAACTCCCATTCTCTTATTGCTGATGTAACCACGGATTTCTCAGGCATGGGTTTCTTGTCTTGCCCCTCCAACTGGTACACCCAAAGTATGCAGTCTCTGCAGTGAAAAATCCTTGCCCACTAAACTAAAGCCTCATAGCCTTTAGTCTCTCGTTTGGCATTGGTGATGTCGCTCCTGTCCATAGAAGCCCATTCCTGTTATTCGCACTGCCAGCCAGAGCGTCGGCTCTTTGATTGCCTTTCACACTAGCATTCTCTGGGACACAAATGAAGGTGATTTTGCAAAACGCTGCGTGCTGTATCACGTAGAGGAGGCGTTGGAGAGTTAGTAAAGGATATAGTTAGTAAAGGATATAGTCTGTAAAAGATATAGTTAGTAAAGCATATAGTTAGTTGAGGATATAGTCAGTAAAGAATACCCCCCCCCCCCCAATACTGCCAATTACAACCTTTATTTTACCACTTTTGCGGTGTAGGCGGGGATGTCTTTGAGCCAATGAGCCAGAAGATTTACGGCCGCATGGCTAATGCTGTCCACACGACTGTGCAGGTGGGGAATTTATTTTGCCTTACCGAGGGTTCCAACCCGGATAGTCGAGGACATATTGTTACTAAACGATACAGCTTAGGCCATCGGTGTACCACGGATATGACGTCAGACACAAATCATTAAAATTGATCTGATAGACTAGTGTGATTTAAATAGGTTTATGTTTTTTTCCACGTGGTTCAATCTCTCTCTCTCTCTCTCTCTCTCTCTCTCTCTCTCTCTCTCTCTCTCTCTCTCTCTCTCTCTCTCTCTCTCTCTCTCTCTTCTATCTCGTTACAACTAGCTGCATGACAAAAATTTCGTATAAAGCACCACTCTATACCTCTAGCGAATACCTCCATTCAGCGTATAAAGTACACTCTTGATCCGAACAAACCATTCCGAGAATTGAACACACGACCTTCTGATCGCTAGGCAAACCGTTTGACCGTTTCGAGACCCTCACATTCAGTGGGTGATATGGGACGAAAAGGTGGCTGGTGTGGGGCTGACTAGAACATTCAGTGAGTGATATGGGACGTAAAGGTGGCTGGTGTGGGGTTGACTACAACATTCAGTGGGTGATATGGGACGTAAAGGTGGCTGGTGTGGGGTTGACTACAACATTCAGTGGGTGATATGGGACGTAAAGGTGGCTGGTGTGGGGTTGACTACAACATTCAGTGGGTGATATGGGACGTAAAGCTGGCTGGTGTGGGGTTAACTACAACATTCAGTGGGTGATATGGGACGTAAAGCTGGCTGGTGTGGGGCTAACTATAACATTCAGTGGGTGATATGGGACGTAAAGGTGGCTGGTGTGGGGCTAACTATAACATTCAGTGGGTGATATGGGACGTAAAGCTGACTGGTGTGGGGTTGACTACAACATTCAGTGGGTGATATGGGACGTAAAGGTGGCTGGTGTGGGGTTGACTACAACATTCAGTGGGTGATATGGGACGTAAAGCTGGCTGGTGTGGGGTTAACTACAACATTCAGTGGGTGATATGGGACGTAAAGCTGGCTGGTGTGGGGTTAACTACAACATTCAGTGGGTGATATGGGACGTAAAGCTGGCTGGTGTGGGGTTGACTACATCATTCAGTGGGTGATATGGGACGTAAAGGTGGCTGGTGTGGGGTTGACTACAGCATTCAGTGAGTGATATAGGACGTAAAGCTGGCTGGTGTGGGGTTGACTACAACATTCAGTGGGTGATATGGGACGTAAAGCTGGCTGGTGTGGGGTTGACTACAACATTCAGTGGGTGATATGGGACGTAAAGCTGGCTGGTGTGGGGTTGACTACAACATTCAGTGAGTGATATGGGACGTAAAGCTGGCTGGTGTGGGGTTGACTACAACATTCAGTGAGTGATATGGGACGTAAAGGTGGCTGGTGTGGGGTTGACTATAACATTCAGTGAGTGATATGGGACGTAAAGCTGGCTGGTGTGGGGTTAACTACAACATTCAGTGGGTGATATGGGACGTAAAGCTGGCTGGTGTGGGGTTGACTACATCATTCAGTGGGTGATATGGGACGTAAAGGTGGCTGGTGTGGGGTTGACTATAACATTCAGTGGGTGATATGGGACGTAAAGCTGGCTGGTGTGGGGTTGACTACAACATTCAGTGAGTGATATGGGACGTAAAGGTGGCTGGTGTGGGGTTGACTACAGCATTCAGTGGGTGATATGGGACGTAAAGCTGGCTGGTGTGGGGTTGACTACAACATTCAGTGGGTGATATGGGACGTAAAGCTGGCTGGTGTGGGGTTGACTACAACATTCAGTGGGTGATATGGGACGTAAAGGTGGCTGGTGTGGGGTTGACTATAACATTCAGTGGGTGATATGGGACGTAAAGCTGGCTGGTGTGGGGTTGACTACAACATTCAGTGAGTGATATGGGACGTAAAGGTGGCTGGTGTGGGGTTGACTACAGCATTCAGTGGGTGATATGGGACGTAAAGCTGGCTGGTGTTGGGTTGACTACAACATTCAGTGGGTGATATGGGACGTAAAGCTGGCTGGTGTGGGGTTGACTACAACATTCAGTGGGTGATATGGGACGTAAAGCTGGCTGGTGTGGGGTCGACTACAACATTCAGTGAGTGATATGGGACGTTAGCTGGCTGGTGTGGGGTTGACTACAACATTCAGTGGGTGATATGGGACGTAAAGGTGGCTGGTGTGGGGTTGACTATAACATTCAGTGAGTGATATGGGACGTAAAGCTGGCTGGTGTGGGGTTGACTACAACATTCAGTGAGTTATATGGGACGTAAAGGTGACTGGTGTGGGGTTGACTACAACATTTAGTGGGTGATATGGGACGTAAAGGTGGCTGGTGTGGGGTTGACCACAACATTCAGTGAGTGATATGGGACGTAAAGGTGGCTGGTGTGGGGTTGACTACAACATTCAGTGGGTGATATGGGACGTAAAGGTGACTGGTGTGGGGTTGACCACAACATTCAGTGGGTGATATGGGACGTAAAGGTGGCTGGTGTGGGGTTGACTACAACATTCAGTGGGTGATATGGGACGTAAAGGTGGCTGGTGTGGGGTTGACTACAACATTCAGTGGGTGATATGGGACGTAAAGATGGCTGGTGTGGGGTTGACTACAACATTCAATGGGTGATATGGGACGTAAAGGTGGCTGGTGTGGGGTTGACTACAACATTCAGTGGGTGATAATGGTAGAAGAGGAAGACATCAGGACCTCACAACGTAACATTCACAAAGAAAGCGACGGATCTCATAGCTACTGCTCCCGAACTCTCCTGTGGAGCCACCTATCGTGCCCGCCTACTTCCATCAACGACAAAATGCATTTCTGGTGGCGACTGTTGGCTTTGGCACCTCTAGCAACTAAAATATGCATTTACTGAGTGCTATTGCTTCTAAGTCGATTCAGTCTAAAATAGATACCAGGAAGTAAAGGAACTAAAATGGGCCCTTCAAAGCAACGGTGACAGGTGGAAAGGGTCCTTTACCGTGTCTTTGACTTTTGACAGGATAGGATAATGTTTAGCAACTGGCGTCAGATGAAAATGATTAGGAAGAAAGTTTACTGACTCTGGATCGTCTGTGTTGTTGGAGTTGAAGAACAAACGTTGATTGGGCCATCTTAGAGTCCATCCTGTGTTTACAATCACAGCAGCTTGGTCTGGTATCCGTCCATGCTGTATCTCCCACTCTTCAATCTGCAACATTTGTACAAGAGTTCCAGTGTTTGAAATATCAGGGCTTACATATAAACAACATTAGCTATGTAATTCACTGAAAAGGCCACGGGTAGTGAGCATACTTTGAATCTTTTCTCCAGGCTATGCCGGCGTGGTCGGTAATGAACAGGCAGACAGATTGGCTGGATCTGCACTACTGGGTGGTGAATTGATACATGACAAGGCAGATGTGGTCAAGGCCCTTTGAGAACAAGCAACGGAATCAGTAAAGGAAGAAGATTATTATGACCTGGAGAGAATGAGGCACATGGGTGTAACCAGAGGGTCTGGCCAGTTGACTACACTCAGAGGAAAGGCAAGACGGACATTTAACCAGACTGTGACCGGTACCATCAGTGTTGGAACTCTGCGTTGGCTGCTGAAGATGAGGACGGAGCATGCATGGGAATGCCCCGAGTGCTGTGATGTCAATTCTTGACTCAAATCAACTCAGCTATGTAAATATTTACAACACAGAATGTTAACTTTGATAATTATACAAACAAACAAAAGGATGACTTTCGCAACCATGCAAACATATTCATTTGAGAAATTATGTATAAATGTTAATTTTTAACAGCATAAGCAAAGATGCTCACTTTAGTAATTATATAAACAATAATGCTCATGTTGGCAACTCTACACTATGAACTTTCGGCAACTTTTATGGAACAGATGGAAATATTTGTTGAATCCAGCCTGTGGAAACCTCCCTGTGCCCCAGTGATTCTTGGGTAGTAACGTCACCATCGTAGCCATCTTGTCATGCCGTTCCTATGGAAACATCCGCACCAGACCAGGTCAAGTACAAATGGAGGATGTTTCAAGGCAGTCGCATATTAGTACGTTATTCAGTTTCGTCCTTTTTAGGACGAAATTTTTTGTTATTTGAAGCCCCACCCTGGCTTTTGCCAGGGGCCGCAATATATGCAGGCCATAAATATGGCCAAATGTCTGAAAGCGGTTTCTGGGACCTCTCCACGGCGATCCTCATCCATATGGTGGCACTTTGTGTCATCGGGTGTTTATCGCTTGTGTGATGTCCTGGTGGGGTAGAAAGTCAGTCAGTCAGTCAGGCAGTCGCATTGTGTATTGCTGTTTTGTCAGTAGGGTCTATGCGTCGACATCTTGTCGTTAAGCCATAAGTTGACTATTTGTTTAACGAAATCCGCTCAACTTCAGGAGGAAACAACTATTCAAGTAGTCAAAATAGCATATGATGCTAAACTCATAGTTGATAGACCAGTCAGCGCTCAGTTTATGATGTGGTAAACATCTCGCCGCCCGCCTTTACTTTTCATGATGTTTGCTGATATAAATATTAGGCTGGGACAATTCAGAACAGGCGTATTTTCCCCCCAGATCCGCAAGAGGCAAGTTCGTTCTTAAAACGTTCAGTGGGGAAGGCAACTGTGTAACTGCTACTCAACTACTGCTGCCAGACAACACGTGTATTCCAGCAGAACTTTAAATGTACTTATTCGATATCATGACTCGTCATCATTCAGCAAGTCCTTGACAGAACGTCGCTCTCCTCACGGTACGTCTGAAAGTATCCCTTTCCCTAGTCAGCTCTCCAACCTCTTGTGCTTTCATTTCCAATGTATCTTCAATGTCCTGCATCCATCCTCGCGGAGGTCGACCCCTGCCTCGTCTTCCACAAACTGCAACCCCCTCCCAACACCGTCTGTTTCAAGCCACCATGACGTTTGATGTTACCATCGAGACAGGATGCTGTTTATGAGCCAGTTCTCCTTGATGTTTAAGTCGTGTAGAATGTCGATGTTTTCCCTTTTCTTAATCCATAGTATTCTGATAATTTTTGTGTAACATAATTCAAAAGCTCCAATTTTTTACTTCAGTGACTGAGTGAGAGTCCAGGACTCACGAAAGTTGCCACAGGAAAAATTTACTACCTCAAGATTGCTACTGTAACTAATTTACTGGTATATCATCACTAGACTGGCCTTCGCATCTTGATCTAAAAACGGGACATCAGTAGTATAGAAGGAGCTACTGAAATCCCACTAATTTTCAGCTGAAAACGGATCATCGTAAGCAGATCAGCTTACCCATACTCCCTATTTTTTTTTCTCTAGATCATCAGGAAGAAAGGGTCAATTACTTAAGTAACAATGGTACTAAATCCAGAAGCATTGTCATCAAGAAATAAACGAAACAATGTGCTCTACAACTGACCTGATAAGAAGAAACATGCAACAGTTAAACTATAGTAAACACATCTAAACCATTAAGAGTATTATTTCTAGTGTGTGTTCTTTTCTCGAATCAATTCCTAGATTTTTATAAAACGGGACAACCAGCGGGTTTTTTCCCCGTAGTACCGACTGGGTGGCTAGGGTGCACATAAAAACGGGACTGTCCCTGTGAAAACGGAAGGTATTGTCATCCTAATTATCACTGTATATTGTATGGAAATGGGTTAACATCTCTGAAGATGCTAGGGATAAAGACATGAACAAAAAGGCAATGCAAGAAGTCCTTTAAATTACTTAAGTCTTACTTATGAAATTTAACAGTTACCTATCAGTGTTACAATTGTCCTACCTTGTGCACCGTGAGAGCGTAGTCACTGTTGTTTGCCGCTTCTGCTCTGGCGTCTATCATAATCCCGTCAGCAATTGTCAGCTCTAGCGGCAGATCCTTCAGATCGTATCCTTTAGGGTTGAAATGACGCGGGGCATCAATGTGGGTTCCCCCATGTTCCCCAGACGTAAATACGCCTATTTCAATCCTTAAATAGATGACGGCGGTTAAAGACAATTATTATCTGCATCAAACTATAGTTCGTTATAAATAAGAGTGATATTACTAGCGACACAATTAACATTTATGTCAAAGTTTTGACTTTTAGACATCTATGTTATTAAAAATTGTAATTTTCCGAGCCTGTTACCTATAGACTCGGAAACTACTGAACCGATTGCTTTCAAATTGTCACACAATGTTTGCATGTATGAGTGTTGCACAAACCATGAACGACGTAGCTCCAGCAACTATAAGATTATTATTTGTTTCGTTGCAGGCCCGGATTTGTTTTTAGTTGATTGGTCACCTCTGTGTGTGTAAAGCACTGACCTTCGCATTATTATAGAATTTCATTTCTACCAAAGTGTGGAGTATTTGGTAGAGTAGTTGTAAGTATTCCGCCTGTCACACGGGTGACCGGTGTACGATTCTTAGCTAGGCAGCGATATCTGCGCCCTTTTTGGGGGGGGGGATCGCTTTTGTGGTTTACAGCTAGCCTGCGATAGCGGCGTCAAAATGCTCAATGTTCATGTCACGGGTAATCTTTCTTTTCGTTCGCCCCCTGAGAGGGCGGTTGGCACGTTGTGTTGTGGTTCCGCTTAACACTGTAAGCTAAGACAGCCTCAGTCCAAATTAGCCTCCCCGCGAAGTTTCACTCGAACAAAAACTATTCGTTGATGACAGAAATTGTTTTGTTTGGGTCGACACGGATGTCAAGGTCAATTAAAAATCGTCCCTTCAGAGAGGGAGAGATGACGGAAGCGGGTTTTTATTTCCGCTATTTGTGAGTATAGTGTACTTTTTAAAAAATCATGGAATACTACAGTGGGTTCCATCACTGGTTAGGATTAGTGACAGTTTTGGGCGTGAAGGTTGGTTTTGGTAGTGGTAGCAGTAGTACTGGTACTTAATGGGTGATGTGGTAGCTGTTACAGTGGCCACATTTGCTTCTCAGTACAGGTTAATGCTACCCATTTAAATCTGTGGGACATGGATGCCAAGCTTAATTTTATTGCAATATTTCGTCAGGCGATGACTTTCCCATCCTTTGGAGAGGATGATATGATTAGGAGGTTGGAGGGGGAAGGATGTTGGAGGTAAAGAGAAGGGAAGAGAGGAAAGGGGGGGGGGGGGGGGAGAGTGATGCCAGACACAGTTAACTGAGAGAGCTTAAAACATTTTAAATTTCTCGTTTCATAACTATTTTTTTAATACTTTCGACAGGGGATGATTTTTCAACCCTTCGGAGAGGGAGATATGATTGGGGAAGAAGGAGGGGGGTTATGACACCAGCTAATAAACACAGTAACCAGCTAACCAACCAACCAGTTAGTAAACACAGTAACCAAATAATCAACCAATCAGCTAGTAAACACAGTAACCAGTTAGCCAATCAACCAGATAGGAAACACAGTTACCAGCAAACCAATCAAGCAGTTAGTAAACACAGTAACCAAATAACCAACCAACCAGCTAGTAAACATAAAAAACACCTAACCAACCAACCAGCTAATAAACACAGTAATCAACTAACTAACCAGCCAGCTAGTAAACACAGTAACCCAAGTAAATCTAACCAACCAACCAGCTAGTAAACACAATAACCAGCTAACCAGTCAACCAGTTAGTAAACACAGTAAATAGCTAAGCAACCAACTAGCTAGTAAACACATTAACCAGCTACCAACCAGTCATCTAGTAAATTCAGTAACAATCTACCAACCAACCAGCTAGTAAACACAGTAACCAGCTAACCAACCAACCAGCTAGTAAACTCAGTACCCAGCTAACCAACCAACCAGCTAGTAAACACAGTAACCAGCTAACCAACCAACCAGCTAGTAAACACAGTAACCAGCTAACAACCAACCAGCTAGTAAACACAGTAACCAGCTAACAACCAACCAGCTAGTAAACACAGTAACCAGCTAACCAACCAACCAGCTAGTAAACACAGTAACCAGCTAACCAACCAACCCTAGTAGTAACCAAACACAGTTAAACCAGCTAACCAGCTAACCAACCAGCTAGTAAACACAGTAACCAGCTAACAACCAACCAGCCAGGTAAAACACAGTAACCAGCTAGCCAACAACCAACCAGCTAGTAAAACACAGTAACTAGTACCAGCTAACAACCAACCAGCTAGTAAATACAGTACCAGCTAACCAACCAACCAGCTAGGAAACACCAGTACCAACCAGCTAACCAACCAACCAGCCAGCTAGTAAACACAGTAACCAGCTAACCAACCAACCAGCTAGTAAACACAGTAACCAGCTAACCAACCAACCAGCCAGCTAGTAAACACTGTAACCCACCAACCAACCAGCTAGTAAACACAGTAACCAGCTAACAACCAACCAGCTAGTAAACACAGTAACCAGCTAACCAACCAGCCAGCTAGTAAGTAACTAACAACCAACACTAGTAACCAGCACCAACCAACCAGCTAGTAAACACAGTAACCAGCTAGCCAACCAACCAGCTAGTAAACACAGTACCCAGCTAACCAACCAACCAGCTAGTAAACACAGTAACCAGCTAACCAACCAACCAGCTAGTAAACACAGTAACCAGCTAACCAACCAACCAGCTAGTAAACCACAACCAACCAGCTAACAACCAACCAACCAGCTAGTAAACACAGTAACCAGCTAACCAACCAACCAGCTAGTAAACACAGTAACCAGCTAACCAACCAACCAGCTAGTAAATACAGTAACCAGCTAACCAACCAACCAGCCAGGAAACACAGTAACCAGCTAACCAACCAACCAGCTAGTAAACACAGTAACCAGCTAACCAACCAACCAGCTAGTAAACACAGTAACCAGCTAACCAACCAGCCAGCTAGTAAACACTGTAACCCACCAACCAACCAGCTAGTAAACACAGTAACCAGCTAACAACCAACCAGCCAGCTAGTAAACACTGTAACCCACCAACCAACCAGCTAGTAAACACAGTAACCAGCTAGCCAACCAACCAGCTAGTAAACACAGTAACCAGCTAACCAACAACCAGCTAGTAAAACCAGCTAGCTTAAACACAGTAAACACAGTAACCAGCTAACAACCAAACCAGCTAGTAGTAAACACAGTAACCAGCTAACCAACCAACCAGCTAGTAAACACAGTAACCAGCTAACCAACCAACCAGCTAGTAAACACAGTAACCAGCTAACAACCAACCAGCTAGTAAACACAGTAACCAGCTAACAACCAACCAGCTAGTACAGTAACCAGCTAACCAACCAGCCAGCTAGTAAACTCAGTACCCAGCTAACTAACCAACCAGCTAGTAAACACAGTACCCAGCTAACCAACCAACCAACCAGCTAGTAAACACAGCAACCAGCTAACAACCAACCAGCTAGTAAACACAGTAACCAGCTAACAACCAACCAGCTAGTAAACACAGTAACCAGCTAACAGCTACCAACCAGCCAGCTAGCTAATCACCAACCACAGTAAACACAACCAGCTAGCCAACCAACCAGCTAGTAAACACAGTAACCTAGCCAACCAACCAGCTAGCTAACCAACCAACCAACCAGCTAGTAAACACAGTAACCAGCTACCAACCAACCAGCTAGTAAACACAGTACCCAGCTAACCAACCAACCAGCTAGTAAACACAGTAACCAGCTAACCAACCAACCAGCTAGTAAACACAGTAACCCACCAATCAACCAGCTAGTAAACACTGTAACCCACCAATCAACCAGCTAGTAAACACTGTAACCCACCAACCAACCAGCTAGTAAACACAGTAACCCACCAATCAACCAGCTAGTAAACACTGTAACCCACCAACCAACCAGCTAGTAAACACTGTAACCCACCAACCAACCAGCTAGTAAACACAGTAACCAGCTAACCAACCAACCAGCTAGTAAACACAGTAACCAGCTACCAACCAACCAGCTAGTAAACACAGTAACCAGCTAACCAACCAACCAGCTAGTAAACACAGTAACCAGCTAAACGATCAACCAGCTAGTAAACACAGTAACCAGCTAACCAACCAACCAGCTAGTAAACACAGTAACCAGCTAAACGATCAACCAGCTAGTAAACACAGTAACCAGCTAACCAACCAGCCAGCTAGTAAACTCAGTACCCAGCTAACCAATCAACCAGCTAGTAAACAAAGTAACCAGCTAGCCAACCAACCAGCTAGTAAACACAGTAACCAGCTAACCAACCAACCAGCTAGTAAACACAGTAACCAGCTAACCAACCAACCAGCTAGTAAACACAGTACCCAGCTAACCAACCAACCAGCTAGTAAACACAGTAAACACAGTAACCAGCTAACCAACCAACCAGCTAGTAAACACAGTAACCAGCTAACCAACCAACCAGCTAGTAAACACAGTAACCAGCTAGCCAACCAACCAGCTAGTAAACACAGTAACCAGCTAACCAACCAACCAGCTAGTAAACACAGTAACCAGCTAACAACCAACCAGCTAGTAAACACAGTAACCAGCTAACCAACCAACCAGCTAGTAAACACAGTAACCAGCTAACAACCAACCAGCTAGTAAACACAGTACCCAGCTAACCAACCAACCAGCTAGGAAACACAGTAACTAACTAACAACCAACCAGCTAGGAAACACAGTAACTAACTAACAACCAACCAGCTAGTAAACACAGTAACCAGCTAGCAAACCAACCAGCTAGTAAACACAGTACCCAGCTAATCAACCAACCAGCTAGTAAACACAGTAACCAGCTAACAACCAACCAGCTAGTAAACACAGTAACCAGCTAGCCAACGAAACAAACAGACTAACTAATGAGCCAACTAACATGACATTATCAAACTTGTGGAACAGACTAGTCATACACACCAAACATTGTTTTTGTTGACGCCAGCCACCAGTCGAGTTCTGTTGAAACTAGGTACTCCGGGCCAGTAGATTGTCGAGGATGATAGTGGATGTGTGAGGTCTATGATCAGACTCGAGCCTGCACGCTCTACGACACACCACACCAGTATAGTCAGGAGGTGAATAATCTGCATGTTTTCTCAGTCTGGTTTCAAGCCTGAAATAAAGTATTTAAAATAAAAATTAATTTGTAAAAGTAAAAAACAATTTTTATGCTTTAAGAACATCAGATACATAGCTAATATTTTTTATAGACAATCTGAAAGGGGCGGGGGCGGGAAAGGTGTGGTTTTGGTGGGGGCGGGGGAGGGGTGATGAGGTCAACTTCACACTGTAGGCCTTTACTTTTCTGGGTTTTGCCTGGTGGCTTCTTAAGTCTGGGTCAACCTGGGAGCCAAGGTCAATTTTCATAGGACAACAAATTCACAAAAATACGGATTTGAACAAACAATATCAAGACCGACAGGCGAATTGTCTAACCACTACACTATTGCGGTTCAGGAAATATAAACATTTTTCTTTTAAATTGTCCCGCCTTCAGATGTGCATTCTATATGATTAACATCTTAAGGATGAGAATCAAACCGCTACAAATCGCCGAAATCCCATTCTGCAGTGTAGCAATATCATCATCAACAAGCGCCTTGTCAGCCGACGTAGGCGTTCCACTTATCTTGGTCTTTGGAGTTCTGGATCAACCACTGTGTTAAGCCATCCACCATCATTCTCTTGGTCTACCTCTGCATCTTCTACCAGTGATCTTTCTATTCGTCACGATATTTTCCTTTGCTGCTTTTCCCCCACTGAAAGAACTTTGTCTTCTTCTCACTGTTGTATATAATTTTCTACTTTCACTAGTCATTTCTATGTAATCATTGCTTTGTTATTCTGGCAGTCCAAGGTATTCGCAACATTCTTCTCAAGAACCATATCTCAGTTGCCTCCAATCTCTTCTTAATTTGCTCCCATTCCAAGATTCACTGCCATACAACAGAAGAAGCTCGATGTAACATTTCAGGACTCGCTTTCTGATTCAGTTGTATTGAGGCACTGCAAAACGGCCACGAAGTAAGTGGTAGTCTAGTGTGGGTGGGTTGTGCGTACCTACATATTAGAAGTTCATTATCTGATATTATCTCATGTGTTGGCACCACTCCCCACCATGAAGAAAAGCTATCAAGAACCTTCAGTCTGGGTCTTCCGCTATCTCTCTTTTTTAACAAATATGTCCAGTTGTCACAACATATTCCAGTTTCTCTCTGCCCATACCGCGAACCAAAAAAAGATGATTGTCTCTTTCTGTTGGTTGTTATGAACACTCTTCAGAAGCTTGCCTCTTTCAAAACACCCTGGTTTCGCCTTTTGGGAGCCCAAGCAATTAGAAATATTCTTCTGTAAAACCTCATCTTTGAGGCCTCAAGAAATTGTTTTGTTTACTCATTGTCCAAGATTCACAGCCACGTGTTAAAACTCGCTGTATAAAGCATACAAGAACCCTTTTTTCTAACCTCCCATGGCATATTTTTTACAGGACGTTGCAGAACCAACCCCAGCACTTCCTGGCTGCTGTGCTTTTTCTAGGCAAATTTAGTTTGCCATTGTTACTGGACGGTCGGCTCTCGGTACCACGTTCGAAACCGTCTGCAGCAGGGTTCGAACCCGGCACCCAGACATTACGAAGCACGTTCGCAAAGCCTATACCACAGACGCCGACCCCATGACATATATATTGTATATATCCGGAATACCGTGACTGTTTAACTCTGAAATAAAACTGATTGGTATTCAAGATGTATTAACTCCTAAAACTTCAAAATAAATATTTTGACCTTGGTGCAGAGGCTTAACTGAGACACAGCAATACACTGCAGTTTATACAGGGGATGTGTAACTGTGTTCTTATTTCTTTCTCCCAGCTCAAAAATGCGCCATGCTTCTGAATTATGAGTTTGAAATACCCCATGCTTCTGTTTAGCTCTTTCGTTCGGTTCTCTAGCGTAGATGGCTAAACTGGATTGCGCGGTGACAGGGTGACGAACTCCTTCTGGTCCGGGTTCACTCCCGGGGGTAGGCAGAAAAGCCACATTTCTCTCAGATTGAAGGTATTTACAATGGAATCAAGGACGAAAGGTTGCGATATCCATAACACAGAGCCTAAGGGTTAACAACTCATGGCTTCTGCATACTAAAACAAACAAACAACTTTAGCTCTTTCTAATTTGTATTTTTACATTCTGACATTATCTAGAACAGAAATGTCAAACTGAGGCCACATGCAAATTTTTTTTTAATGTTATGAAGGTCACACACGACAGTTAATTAAGTCATTTAATAATTTAAAAAAACTAATAAATCAGAATATTGAATAAATGAAACATTACCCAAGCCACTACTCTAGAAAGTTATCTACCCCACACACGAACAAAACATCTTTGAAATGTGGGCGCTTATATACATTAAAAAACCCCGTGTAGATTTAGTACTAAGACAATAGCAACGGCCTTCAGATTTTAAATTCTGCAAATCATTGTTGTCTCAATTTCCCACGTAAACGTTCCACGTGATCTACCTACAACGACAGCCGATAGTAACCCCGGGTCCTACGGTTTTGTTTAACATCTTGGGTGTCCATCCACTGACTACCTCAGGTAAAACGAACGGTTGGAGTCGCCGTTTGTAGGTGTTTTCCTTCACCGTGATGCTATAACAATATTAGCTCTAACAGACCTGGGTCAGCTACCGTTGTTGACATCATTCCGGGTGTGAGTAAAAAAAAAAAAAAGAGGGCGGAGGGCACGATCCATCATAAATTCAGGCAACATTCTTAAAAAATAACATGGTTGCTATTCTTTTTAAAACCTCTGTAATGCAAAGTGAAGACTGTCCAGTTCAGTTCAGTAAAGGACTCTTTATCACGCTTTGTGTTGAGTTGATTCAAGAACCGACATCACAGCACTCAGGGCATTTACATAAGCGCTCCGTCCCCATCCTCAACAGCAAGCGCAGAGTTCCGATACTAATGGTGCCAGTAGCATTCTGATTAAACGTCCGTCTTGCCTTCCCTCTGAGCCTTGGGCATCTGCCAGAACCTCTCGTCTCAACCCGCTGAATCAATCTTACCAGACTGTGGTGATCCATCTGCTCCTGCGAACTGTACACGCTCTCCCACAAGCCATTAACTACATCTGCCTTATCATGCATTAGTAGTCTACCAAGTTGTGCAGAGCCAGCCAATCTGTCCGCCTGTTTATTTCCCAACACACCGGCGGATCCCAGAGAAAAGCATCCAGACAATACTCCTCACCCGTGTCCTTTGCAGCGAGGCATGCTACTCTGCACGAAGCATGCCACTCTGCACGAAGCATGCCACTCTGCACGAAACATGCCACTCTGCAGTGAAACTATGGGGGTGACTGCAGTTTGAAAAAGGCTGCCTGGCCGAAACGTTACGTTGTGTTGTTTTGTGCACGTTTTCCTCTTTCCCATTTTGTTGAGCTTTTTAGTCAAATTTCTCTGGAATTCACTCTGCAGTGAAGCATGCCACTCCTCAGTGAAGCATGCCACTCCTCAGTGAAGCATGCCACTCCTCAGTGAGCATGCCACTCCTCAGTGAAGCATGCCACTCCTCAGTGAAGCATGCCACTCCTCAGTGAAGCATGCCACTCCTCAGTGAGCATGCCACTCCTCAGTGAAGCATGCCACTCTGCACGAAACATGCCACTCTGCAGTGAAGCATGCCACTCCTCAGTGAAGCATGCCACTCCTCAGTGAGCATGCCACTCCTCAGTGAAGCATGCCACTCCTCAGTGAAACATGCCACTCCTCAGTGAAGCATGCCACTCCTCAGTGAGCATGCCACTCCTCAGTGAAGCATGCCACTCTGCACGAAACATGCCACTCTGCAGTGAAGCATGCCACTCTGCACGAAGCATGCCTGTCCTGACCTTCCTCAGCATGCTTTCTGGTTACCACACTTTCAGACGCACTGGGCATTAACCAAAACTTTCCACAGCCGGTGAACGGAAAGAAGAATTGAACCTTACTATACAAATGTCATACGGTCGAACGCAGTTCTAGGATCTCTGTGGCTATGCCGCTTCCGAAAAGTGGCAGCTTGATTCACTATGTGTAAATCTAGGGGACGGTAAAACACAAGCGCGTTGTTAAAAATAGAAAGGCTTAAAGGTTTCATCGTGTGAGTATGCGTATGTCTATCAAATTTTGCACACACAACTTAGTGGAGATCCCGAATCAAACAAAAAGAGAGAACCCAGATCTTCGATATGACATTATTTGCTTGACTCTATATGTTCAGTTGATAAGTCCTGTGCCTTCAGGATAATTTACCACACATTGAACAGCAGACGTTTACTAAAATAGATGGGGCCCGTTTCCAACAAGTGAACACTGCTATTTTGTGTAAACAAAAAGATCATCTGCTAAATGTGACGTTACCATGGTAATTACGTGGCTGATCTTGAATTTCCCGTGGAGAGATAACAGTAACTTTACCATGTAATTTATGAATTTCAGCAAAAAAGATTCATTTTTTTTTAAAATGGTTTATTATGTATTGATTTAACTCCGAAGTAATGCACAGATAATAATTTATACAATGTATTGTTTGTGTCCGCATTATTTAAATATATATACAATTGCTAGCATTTCAAATCGACAGAGGACATCTTATACATTAAGCAACGGTAAATTACGGTATGTGTGCCAAGTTAGCAGGCGACACGATTTTCAATGGCACGCGCCGTGATTTGAAGCAGAGTAAAAACTCTTACTAAAGCCGGGCGAACAAAATATAAACATATTTATTTTAAAAAAAAATATCAAAGCTACTTGTTTCAGTGTTGTTTTATATAAAGAGCACATTGGAATTTTTTTGGCACGCTTATTGTTTTTGCATCATGACCTTGGGACAACACAAAAACATGGTTGCCCCCCCCCCCCACCCCAATCATATACCTTACCTTCTTATTACACATCCACCTTGATTACATATACTTTGGTAAGCACTGCCCACTTTGATTCGCGTGATACAGGTTCCCACAATTTCAGATCTAGAAGGTCTTTATCTTTATTAATTCAACATTCACCGTCGACCTGAAATGTTAGCGTCTCTCTT